TAACCTTATTATACAGCGAAATTTAATTTAGTCTAATCAAACTAAATATATTTTAGATAAGCTTACAATACTTTAATAATAAACAAACGCAATGAAATATATTTTTTTTCGTAGGTTCAGAAATGGTTTTTGCGAAATTATGCATACAAAAATTTATCGCTTTCTTTATTTGGCAATAAGTATGTATATATATAAATATATATATTATATATATATTATATATATATATATATATATATATATATATATATATATATATAATTAATGTCGTGCCGAATAGCAGAACTTGCGGTCTTGGCTTAAATAGCACGCTCATCTTGCATATAGGACAAGTGAAAATTTGGTATGCAATAATTTCTCCAAAATCATTCTGAAACCTAACGATAAAAATATATTTGATTGTGTTTGTTTATTTACTAAATTACTGTAAACATTTTAAAATATATTTAGTTGGATTAGGCTAAAAAAATTGCTTTCGTTTAATAAGGTTAGGTAATTTTTAAGTTCTTTTGGTGCAAAATTAAAATTTTTTTACATTAACATTAAATGAAAAAAATATGTCTTTAATCGTATAAGAGAAAATTTCGAAAGGACTTAATTTTAAATGATTCTTGCTAATTGACCAGTTTTACATATTCGGACGATAATATATATATATATATATATATATATATATATATTATAATAGTCGTGCCGAATATGTAAAAACTGGTCAATAGCAAGAACTCATTTAAAATTAAGTCTTTCTAAAATTTTATCTTATCAATTTTAAAGTTATTTTTTATTATAATGTGTGATGGAAAAATTTATAAATTTGCCCCAAAAGGAATTAGAAAATTCTAACCTTATAAAAAAGAACAATGTGATTTTATCCCAGTCCAACTAAATTTTTAAATACTTTTACAATAATTAGTTACTAAACAAACACATTTGGAAATATATTTTTTTCGTTATGGTTGCAGAATGATTTTGGCGAAATTATTACATACACAAATTTTCACTTGTCCTAAAATGGCAAGATGAGCGTTGCTATTTAAGCAAGATCGCAAGTTCTGCTATTCGGCACGCATATATTTATTAAAATATTATATTATATATATATATATATAATATATATATATAAGTAGTCATAATTTCTACAGGGGGAGGAATTCCGGAAAAGGCCTTCTACAGAGCGAGGAATTCCGGAAAAGGCCTTCTACAGAGCGAGGATGAGGCATCCCCTTTTCACACCTAGGTGTTACTTCCGTTTTGACCTTGACCTCGCCCTCGAGACTACCTCACCCTTGACCCCCCCCAACCAATACCCCCGCCCACGACCCCCCCCCCTTCGCGACCCCCCCCTTCGCGACCCCACCGTCGCCCCCCGCGCGCCTGCCCGCCGCGCCGCCCGCCGCCCGCCCGCGCGCCCGCCCGCGCACCCGCCCGCGCGCCTTCTGCTGCGCCTTCTGCAGCGTCGTCCGGATCGCCCCCGCGCCTCGATTTTTTTTTGGGTACCCCTCCTTTCACCCCAAATTTTCTCGACAATACCATGACTCCATCTCCTTTGATCAAGGTTTTTGGATTCCCCCCTATGGGGTTTTCGAAATTCTCCATCTCCTCGGATCAAGTTTTTTGGATTTCCCCCCCTATGGGGGTTTCGAAATTCTCCAATTCCTCGGATCAAGTTTTTTGGAATCCCCCCCTCTGGGGGTAAGCATGCTTACTACAGGTCTAAACAAGTCAAATGACCTAAGAAGGGTGTTTACTCGGCGGTCAGTGACGTCACGTGTTGACCCAGCACACAGGTTGAATCAGGCTGACAGTGACGTCACGCGCACACAGGTTGAAACTTGTCGATCCTTTTACTTCATTCAAGTTAATAAGGGGACATAGTACCTACATCATAGGGAAAACATTTTCATCATCAGAAAGACACATTTCAGGATAACACTAATACACAATATTTTTTTCATTATTTATTATACAACCATTACATTTTTGGTAATACATCACTCTATTCTCCTACGTTTAGATGGTTTAATATCAGGGTGTCCATAAGCCAAGGATTCATTAGTATTCAAATGATATCTTTTATCATCAAAGGCTGACAAGCCTTTCTTATTAATTCTTACCGTACATATTTCACCTTTTACATTACTTATAGACTTACACGTGAATAATTCTCTATCTACATTTGATAAAACATTCTTATATCTTGCATGTGTTAATAATGGCATAAATTGCGAAGGAATACCCTTGGCTCTGCTGACATTAGTTGATCTTCCAGCAATCTTGACAGAATACATTTTAGCTTTCAGGGCTATCAACTCGCTAATATGGTATCACACATTTCAGATTTCAATAACCCCAGCTCCCCTTTCTACTATCATCATATAAGGGATGCTCAGGGCTGAAATTTGAAAAATCCATATAACCTAATAATGGTTCACTTTTTAACTCGGTGTACAAATCTTTACATTTCAAGCTAAAAATATACGAGTCAGTATCGGTATAAAGAAGTCTTACATCTTCACCATAATGTTGTTTTAAAACTTTATACCAAAAATGATACAATTTCTTTTTAGCTATCTCAAGAATTTGAAAACCGAGATAAAGTGGTTGCTTAACTTCTAATATATCTTTATTGAATGTGCAAAATACTCTATCTGAGATTTAAATGTGTATATTTTTTTACAAAGGATCTTTACTCGCTCTAATAAATGCTTTCTCATTATGATATATCTATATTTCTCAGCAACTTGTAATTTCAGCTATGATTTTCCCATATATGGGGGGGGGGGGGGGGCGGTGGTGGTTTTTGAAGGCTTGACTTGATAGGGACATCTGTAGCTGTCTCTGCTGCAATATTAGTTGATATGAAAGTTCTAAAAATTTAGTCTGTGTATATCATATATGGTATGAAACCTTATTCCACCTCTAACCCAAGTTTCAGTAATAACTGTAAACCAATTCTAGACTGATTAAATAAATTTTCTGAGGTAAATACTGCCCACTAATTTCCCATAGATTGGGGATCTTTCTACCATCAATTTTTCATATAGATTCACAATAAGGAGATACACTCTCTGATATATTCATATGTGATAATATTAAAGGAAGTTCATCAGTGAGTCTAGCTACCTCGGGGATATGTGCTGTATCACATTCATCCAATATCCCTTTTGGACCTTCACAGAAACATTACTTATCCCACATCGAGGAACAGCATTCTTCTCGTCATTTCGATAATTTTCTGATACCATTTCTGTGTAGAGCTTCAACCCATCGCACTAGCATACAATGAATTGAATATCCTAGATATAGAATATGAGTGCCATGTCACTCATAACATCAAAATTAGGGATAATTAGGGGATTAACTGCTTTAGAATACTGATTTATTGCGCACGTAAGACCCTCCTCTGAGAATTCCTTTTTAATCAAGTCATATAATTCGTGGGAATAAATCAATCTAATCTTACATTAGTTTTCAATAGGAATGCATCCAACTGAATGATGGTAAACTATATAATTACGAACGTCTAACTTATAAATATCCTGAGTGTTTTACGCCACTCCATGAAGACATCGCTAACAAACCAACATCTGTCTTGATGATATAACATCAAGTAATCTCCTAAAGTCTTCCTTTACCCAAGTCCAAACACTTTCAATGCAGGATCATAATCTTCTTGGCTGGATAGCGCTATTCACAAAGAATTAAAAAAAATGATCTTTACTCGGTAATTTTTGTTTCATCGAGCTTCTTTAAACTGCAATATAATCATAACACAAATTTTTTTTCCTTTACAATAATAAAGGTAAGACATCTCGAGGCACAGCTTTCAGATAGTCTCTGTATATTTTCAGGGATTTAACCTGCCATTGATATGTTGATCTTGCTAACGTGTGAAAGAGATCCATTCCTATAAAGACAGTGAATCTTGAAACCTAACCTTACCTAGTCCTACTTTCAAGAATTGAATCCTTGTTTCGAATGAATTTCAACGTTATAATTATCAACATTCATTTCCTTTAAAATTTTCCTAAATCATACGACATTTTATGACAAAAAAGCAGTAAAAAAAAAAAAATAATTTCACATCTCTTGTCTTTACACTGCATATTAAAACGTGCACAATAGCTCCAATATAATTATTGAAATTTAAAGTATGGTCATGGTGTTTTATGTTTTCCTTGGGTTTTTTGAAGGTGTTTACCACATAATTCACAAGTTTTCCTGAGAATCATGTCTCATCTCATCCTCCTCTGACAATGGAATTACATGATACTGTCTTCTAAACTTTTATTTTATTCCATTCACCCCTAACAATTTAAAATGAAATGATTAACAGCATCCTCCCCCTTATAACTCTTTATACACACTATTTCTCCTTTGCGATCAAATAATTATAACAAATAGGCAATGGCTTTATGACGAGACTCAATTTTACCAGCTGGGAGAGTGGTGTCTAATGCACATTCGAAATCAAATACTCCAATATATTCGTTTGGAATGCGTAATGACTAAATTTTACAAAGTTAGGTAGCCTGTTGTTCCTTCCGGGAGGAATACGAGAATCTGATTGATTTTACATCCATCTTCGTGGATAACTAACTCTTCCTGTGTATTTCAACTCATCCAAACAACAATGACAGTGCTTCTTTACACCAAGATCCCTTCATTATCGTTCTAACATACACGTCAAAATCTTGATTAAACCCATGTCTTTCTTCAACAATACCGCCACAAATAATGTCCTTAATTTTCTTATTCCCTTACGACACATAGCCATAAATGTCCTATCTGATCTTTCTTATTTGATATACATATAATGACACTTTTATTTTCCTTCTCTAATATACCTAACTTATCACGCGTAATGGGAAATATTCTATAGAAGATTTTGCATGATTAAGACAACTCTCTTATTAGTAACTTGCTTTGGCAATATCACACCATGGCTTGTCTTTTTATGACATTGATAGGCGCAAAAGCACGCAGTACACCATAACCCATCATTAATCTCTGGATTAAATACATATTGGTTCCCTCGCAGTTTCTCGGGATATGCCACATATGATCCCACTCCCACTCTGAATTCTACTTTAACATATTCGATACTGAAAGATTCGATTTGATCTATGATCCAGCCAGATCCTTCCTGATCTTGCAACTCTGACTCGTATCTTTCTAATATTGTTCCCACCCATCGATCAAATACTTCAGAGATTTCCTCTTCACTTACTAACTCAAACGCTAAATTTATCACAAATTGGCCATTTTGATCATCACCCGATATGTTTTGACGTACTGTCCTTATAACTATAATTGGGTGGATTCTGAGCGACATTGCTAGAGGCGATCTATCATACATATCTCGCATCTGTTCTATAAAATAATCCCTATAAACATGTAAATACATTCTTAACTCTGTTATAAGTTGAAGGAACACTATATTTCCTCACTGTATGTCTACCTCTAAAATTCTGGATATATGTAATAACTTCTGGGGTCTCATCTTCACTATTATCATTACTGTCAGACACGTCATGCGAGGTAGTTGCTCTCTCATCATCATTAATGGGGGCAGAAGTACCCGCACCTCCGCATTGTGAGGTACCAACACTAGCACTCTCACCACCAAGCTGTGCGACATTACTACCAGGTGTATTTCCTGCAGAGGAAAAAAGTATATCCAATTCATAACCCAAAAAATATTAAGATTTCAATGAATAGAACAAAAAATCTTTTGTCGAGTGACTAGCACATTTTCACAACAACAAAAGATCACAATTGGTTACATACCTGTTTCTATAGCCTTCTTCCATAAAGCATCTACACGTGCCCACTCATTATCCAATTGCAATAACCTTTCATTGCGTTGTACACCGCCTTTCTCGATTACCAACGAACGCTGCTTTCTAATCGATAATCTTCTCTTCACCAATGCTTCCAAGTATTTCGAATATATGCTATCCCCTGTTAAGAATTTAACTTATTTAACACACTATCACAGTAAAAATTTCACTCGTATGCTTCAACAAAAAAATTAACCCAAATCATTAAACATGTAAAAAACTGTTTCAACGCTTATCAAGAATTTTCTAACAATCTCCTCTTCACCAATTCACTTATTTAACACACTAACCCATTAAAAATTTCACTTATTAACGCACTAACCCAGTAAACATTTCACTCGTATGCTTCAACAAAAATTAACCCAAATTTCACTCGTATGCTTCAACAAAAATTAACCCAAATTTCACTCGTATGCTTCAACAAAAATTAAACATGTAAAAACTGTTTCACCGCTTATCAAGAATTTTCTAAGTACAACTTACCTTTCTCCATGTTGTGCGGTTCAGCGTTGGAAGATGAGGTCAGTCAGGGTGGGGAAGATGAGATCAGTCACGGATGACGGATGGAAGCACTATCCTCGCTTTGAGTGTCTCATTGAGCTTATATGGACCACCCCTTCCCCCGACACCACTGTGTAATGCGGTTCACACCCAAGGTAGAAAATCACACCTGGGTCAACACAGGTCAGACAGACTGCATGTAATGCGGTTCACACCCATGGTAGAAAATCACACGTCCATCTCCTTACCGAACACCTGGGCCACCCCTCCCCCCGACACCACTGTGTAATGCGGTTCACACCCAAGGTAGAACATAACACCGGGGTCAACTCAGGACAGACAAACACCGTGAAATGCGGTTCACACCCAAGGTAGATTTAAGATAATCATCGCCTTCCCCAAAACCCGGGGGTCAACACGGGTCAACAGACAGCTTTGTAATGTGGTTCACACCCAAGAAAAAAATAAACCCCATAAACCTTACTGAAACCCTGGGCCCCCCCTTCCCCCAACACCAACTTGTAATGGGGTTCACACCCAAGGAATTTAAGATAATCATGAACACCTGGGTCAATCGCCACCCAAAAAGCAACTAATTTTGGTGAGGCAGCCCCTTTTGCTGCCACATTAACTGTGTCCCCTTATTAAACAAAAGTATTTATACTTGAAAACCCCATTAAACTTACAGTTGGATAATGGTTTTGAAAAACCCGACAAGTTGAAGATTGAGACACTATGCTAAAGCATAAGGAACTTTATTCAGAAACTTTCGCCACAACAGTGGCTCACAAGTCCAATACAAAGAGAAGGCGTAAGGGAAGGAGGAGTATGAGGTAATCAGCCCCCAGCCTAAAGTCAAAATTGTCAGCCCCATCAATTTTGTAGAACCGTACAGCATAGGGCCGTAGACGTTTTATATACTGTAGTGAGGTGAGGTGAAGCAGGCGAGGCGGGTCAAGTGGTACCACCACTAAGTCAAAGTAGGCCCTCGCCCCAAAGGTTAACAAGTGTTGAAGAATTCTTGTAACAACCCCCAGATGTGCATTTCCCTGACAGTTGTGATGAATGGTTTGAAAAACCACAAGTTGAAGATTGAGACACTTATGCAGCATATGGGAATCTTTATTCGGGAAACGTTTCGCCACACAGTGGCTCATCATCCAATACAAAGAGGAAGGCGAAAGGGAGAGGAGGAGTATGAGGTAATCAGTCCCTCCAGCCTGGAGTCGATTGTTCAGTCCACAATCTTGTAGAATGTACAGCATAGGGCCGTAGACGTGGCTTATATACTGTAGTGAGGTGGGGTGAAGCAGGCGGAGCGGGGTCATAGTGGTACCATCCACTAGTCGAAGTAGGTCTTCGTCTTCGTTACAAAGAATTCTTCAACACTTGTTCAACCTTTGGACGAAGACCTACTTCGAAAAGTGGATTGGTACCACTATGACCCCCGCCTCCGCCTGCTTCACCTCACCTCACTACAGTATATAAGCCACGTCTACGGCCCTGTGCTGTACATTCTACAAGATTGATGGACTGAACACATCGACTCCAGGCTGAGGGACTGATTACCTCATACTCCTCCTCTCCTTACGCCTTCCTCTTTGTATTGGACCGATGAAGCCACTGTGTGGCGAAACGTTTCCTGAATAAAGATTCCCATATGCTGCATAAGTGTCTCAATCTTCAAGACTTACAGTGTACAAGACGCCTCTCAAAGGTAAACACCCTTTTTTAGTTTCATTAAACTTAAAGAGAGGAAGCTTTTAGATCATTTTAAAATAATAAGGGGAAGATGTTGAACTTGTCAACATACACATCTAATGACGTTGATATATTTCGTTATCCATCAAGGATTATCATTGCCGGTTATTCGAATAGTGGCAAATCTTATTTCACATCAAAATTAATAAAGTTATACCACGAGAAATTTCATAACATTATAATATGCGGGGTGACATCACATCCCTTAGAACAAGATTCAGAGATATCTCGTAAATTAACATTAAGTAACGATATTATCGACCCGCAGAATGTCATTGCATCACCCGATGAAAATACAATAATTATTGTTGATGATCTATTTTTAAAAGCTGGTAACAGTGAAATTATTCTCGAATGTTTTACTAAAGGTAGACATCATAATATAAGCATTATTCTGATTACTCAAAATATATTTCACGGAGGACGATATAGTCGTACCATGGCTTTAAACGCCACGCATTTTGCTTTATTTAAAATGAGGGATCTTGGACAAGTAGAGATTCTGGGGAGACAAGTTTTCGGAAAAAATAAAGAATTTGTAAATATATATAAATCTGCTATAAATCGATCACCCTTTGGTTATTTATTCATAGACCTTGCATTAAATACACCAGAAGCATTACAGTTGCGAACCAATGTGTTACGGCAGGATTCCTACGAAATTGTATACCAATAGTAAGTAAGTAAGTAAGTAAGTTTATTCAGGTATACACAAATACAGTTACATAGAATTATCATATATAGCAGCATATGTGTAGAGAACCTAGGATAACCCAAAAAAGTCAGACAGAGTGACTTATTTCCATTGGGGTCCTTTTACCTTATTATTATAGTATAAAGGTTATAATATTTTCTTATTGTTCTACAATGAAGATAACATCTTATTATCATACTAAAAAGACTATCTGCGACACCAAGGTCATTAAGAATCTACAATACGAGGGTCATTACAAGGAATAAGGTAAAAAATTTACACGTATGTTAGCTAAAAAATAGAAAATCATTCCCCTCCCTTTCTGTAGCTACATTCATCAGACACCTTTTGGCACTCTTCTTGAACTGGTTCACGCTATGACTGGCTTTGACATGCGCGGGTAGTCTGTTCCATTCCTTTATTGCTGTACAATAAAAAGGGGTTTGAAGCCTGGCCACTGACTGTGGGTACTACAAAGTTGTGCTCTCTCCCCTAGTTCTATGATTGCTTTGGTTCCCAGCCTTGACAAAATTGACTGCAAGATATTCCTGGACATTGCTTGTGAGCAATTTTATAAACATGATTTAGCTTCAGTTGTTTTACTCTGTCTTCAACATTCAGCATATCCAACTGCTGTAATTCATCCTGGCCTACATGTTCTCTTGGTCCCAGCCCCAGGATGAATCTTACGATTTTGTTCTGGGTGATTTGCAGTCTACTTTCATTTTTTTGTCAAGGCAGAGTACCAAGAAGAGCAAGCGTAAAACCATATGGGATTGTATAAGGGCAAGCAAAATTAATTGAAAA